CTCCCTGTGCACTCATTCATTCACTTTAGTGCTCTTCTGACTCTGGTTCTCATTGTCGTCGTTATTTGTTGTTGGACTTGTAAGTAGCTCAAATGGGGAAAATGGGCGAAAGTGGGCAGGGTATAACGACATCGTTCAAGTTGAAGGACATAACTGAATTTTGGTCGTTGTAGTTTTTGCTTCTGCTTTTTGAAATTCAAATTGCGAATGGGAAAAGTGAATGGCGAACGACGACCGACTAACGAAGGCATGAATCCGTAATGACTTCTATGGCTCTGCTTTACGTAGCGTAAAAACTAATTAATTACACGTGCAAATTGTGATAAATTCCATTTGCTGAACTCCTTTCTCTCTAATTATTCATTTTCATTGCATTTGCTGTTTCATAATGTCATTTACATAGTCGAACAACGTGTGGGAGCTTTACTAGCTACACCATGCAGATGGCATCGATTTCTTGGGAGGGTTCACGTTAATGGTGCAGATGGTACACTGGTGACCACAACAAGTGTCCTTGCGCCAGTTTCGCCCAGCCACCAGCCTCTGCACTGCACATCTCATTTTGGAGCATTTTCTATTTATATTCACTGGCCCCCAGCGGTCTTCCGCCCCTCCGAACCCCCCTCCCCAGCATGCACTCTTTAAACAAACCGCATTATGCGCTGTTTGTTATTTTTAATCACACGACATCCACGCACTTGTGCGGCGTGTGATTCTGAATTGCATTATGATTCATGCGGGGGGAGGTGGAGAAAACAGCAGGCATAATATATTTCAGTGCATTTAACAAATATTGTTAACAAATTTTTGACTTGCAAAAGGTTACCCACAATTGGACTTCCACAGTCCATAACTCCACCACTCCATAACTCTACCAAATTCAAACCGATTTCAAAGTGGCATACCTCTAAAGACTTGTGTTTTGATTCTCAAAAAAACTGCATTCAAATTTTTCATTTTAATGTTGATCAAATTTTTGACCCATTTTCATGTCAGTTATTTCTAAGTTTCCGATACTTGTAATAAAAAGGTGACCCACAATTGGACATTCAGAGGCCATAACTTTGCCAAATTTAAACCGATTTCAAATTGGCATACCTCTAAAGACTTGTGTTTTGATTCTCAAAAAAACTGCATTCAAATTTTTCATTTTAACGTTGATCAAATTTTTGACCCATTTTCATGTCAGTTATTTGTAAGTTTCCGATGACTTGCAAAAAGGTGACCCACAATTGGACTTCCAGAGTCCATAACTTTGTCAAATTAAAGCCGATTTCAAAGTGGCATACCTCTAAAGACTTGTGGTTTGATTCTCAAGAAATCTGCATTTAAATTTGTCTGCAAGCTTATAAAAATAGACATCTTGTCGTTACACTCACTTTAATCTCTTTTAAAGGCCGACTATTTTTTAAAATCGCTTGAACTTGAGAACCGAATAAGAGGGTGCCAAGTCCTTATAATTAATGCCTGCATTTGAACTTGACCCAAAAAATGTGTGAATTATTTTCAAGCAGAAGCTTATTTTGCGGAGGAGGCTGCCAAGACCTCAAGCGGAATCGCCATAGAGCAACCATGTCTTAAATTGCGAAACTCTAAACCGTTTGTCTGTGTGATTTATCGAGTGGGCAAAAGGGTCTAAATAGGTCAATTGGTATCTCTTGTGAATATTTCAAGAATTTATGAGCTTCAAGAATAAAGAGAATGTGAATGTGAGAATGAGAATTGTTGAGGTAAAATGTGCGAGGATTAAAGGCACGCTGAGATTTATTTTTAGTATAAAAAATATAAATTGACCTATTATAACGTCCTTTTGTTGTTACTGAAATTTATATTCGCTTAAATGTGGAGTAATCTCAATTTAGCCAGAATTGTAATTTGTTAATGGAATATTAAAACAAAAATTAAACAGAGAAAGCTTTTAGAATTTAAGGTTATTAAGAAGTCTTTTCCCCTACGCGTCTACTTATGAGTTTGCAATATCCTATATGCTCTTAGCTTTTTGTGCATTACCCGATTCGCTTTTGCCAAGTGCTCATTTTCTTTTATGCAAACACTTTTGACCCAGTTATGCGACTCCTTTCACTCTTTGCCAGCTGAAAATTCCATCTGGCTGAAATAAACTTAGCCAGCCACACTATCTTTCGTCAGCGTGCCTTGCTCTTGCCATTGCCATCACTCAAACTGCTACTACTCAAAGTTTTTGAGCTCCGAGTCGCTTCTGTTTTCCTTTGATATCAAATGCATTCACGTTTAGTTTTGTAATTAAAACCGTAATTCCACATAGATACCCGTCGAGGGGCTGCGGGGATGACATTAGCATGCAAATGTATGCGTGACGGGTGGAAAACCCCATCCAAGGTGACCCCAACTCCCCCTAAAAGCCGCCACGCCCACCCACACATTCACAAAAAACGGAGCCTGCTCTGTTTGATAAGTGGGAAAGTGTAAAAATTTCGTTGCATACTTGTGAGCGTCGAAATGGAATTGCGGCTCTGGTGGAAAATGGGGAAATGTGACAGCTGGCACGAAACTTCATGCGAATATAAATGTGAATTTAATTGTGCCACCCACACACACGCAGGCACCCGTGTATAACTATGGCTATGACAATAGTGGAAAGTTTAAACAGGATGTTATTTAAAAAGCAAACTAACAAAAAAAGATAATCTTAATTGAGTCCATAAGTTATTATCCAAATATTGTTTGCATGTTATTACTGAAAAAATACTACATTTTGGTTTTAGAAGTGCAGAGTACATTTTTAATAAAAGTGGTTCTTTCTAGCGTGCATCCATTTGCAAACATGTAATAATATTTTTTCGGCAACCTTGCATGAACATCACTCACCCGTGCTTCAAGCAAATGAATAATTTGCCTACGTGTTTGGATTAAAAAAATATTTCATTTATATGGAAAAGACTAGGTAGGACTACAAAATTCAATAAGTTTTTTCAGTTTAAATACTACATTTGGTTTACTATGAAGACGAGAAAACTGACCTTTTAACGAATGAAATTCTCAAACCTATTTAAATGTAGTTGATGACAAAATAAGTGATGATACAAATGGTTCGGTAATGCATAAAATTGTTCCTTTTTACCCATATCCTTAATGGGAAAAGGAAAGGCTATATTTGCAAAGCTAATCCCTATTGTTTTGGCCTCCACTGTGCCAGTACGCACATCCTGAAAGTGTTAAAACCACTTTGGTAAGGAGATGTGGGCGAGTTGCGGCCGTCAGTCAATCAGAGAGATGGCGTCACCTGTCGCCGACTTGCCAAGAAAGTTGGGCCAGCCCTGCGGCTTTTATAATAATTTCAAGTGTTTATAGTTGAAATATATGTATGGGAGTGCGAGTGCGAATGCGAATGCGCTACATATAGACATAGTATGCGGGCCCGTTGGCCAATCTCTGTAACGCCTTGTCGCCTGCCGGTCGAGTTTGGGGCTTAGTCGCTGCGCCTTTGCTCGCTTCCTTCCTGACCAACTTCCTGTCACGCTTGAGGAGGGGAAGGGAGGGGGGGGTGGAGGTCCTTCAGCCCTGCCGATTGCTATATAAACATTACCCCGATCCCTGGATCCCTGCACAGTGTTTGCCATTTCTGTGTTTTATTCGAGACGACGTGCAGGAAATTTGAGCAACGCTGGGATGAGCAAAAATATAAAAATAAAAAAGGAAAGAAAATCCATTTACGTAATTACTTCGAGTTAACTTTTGCCCTCGCTGCTCCTCGGCTGCAGAAGGATGCGCGCCCTTTTCGTTATTGAATTATTGAAGAATTGCTTATTCGCTTATTGGAAATCTGTTCTCCCTCTAGCACTGCCACTAGTTGAGTTACAGCCACCATAATTGGATGAAACGGGGTCGAACACTCAACCCATATCGATTACATTACAGCGAAAAGTTTTCCCATTTTCATAGCCCTCCGACAACCGTTAATTATATTTGACCAGCAACATTTTTTACGAGGGTTTCGCAAGAGGAAAGCGCGTTGAACGTGTTTGGCCCAAGTTGCATTTAATTATTCTAATTTATGGTTCACGGAACATCCATCATCGAAGTTGCTTATTATTATTGGAGCCCCAAAAGCTTGTTTCTCAAATAATCTTTCTGTAGTTGGTGACGTTTGGCTGAGGTGGGCCAAAAATGGGAAATTAATAGCCGCTATACATTTCCTTCGGATGAAACTCATTAAGGCCATAGAACATAAATTTTACGCAGACGTGGGTAAATACCTAAATAATATTGTAATAATTTCGGCTTTGAGAGCGGTAAATAAAAGCCGGTTAAGGGATTTTATAAAAATTAACTATAGATCGTCATGGTATAGAATTTAATTGGCAGGTGTTTATTGACTTTTTATTAAATATACTTTTGTCTTAAAAATGTGAAACCTACCGGATTTTTTTGTTTCGCTTTATTAATTTATCCAAAGATGATGTACATATTTTTAATACTTGTTGTAGGCAATTCAAGGTCTCTTTAAATTAAATCCGTTCTTTAAATTTCTTAAGGTTGTTTTACACAACCAGTATGTATCGAATAAAATCAGTTAAGACTATGAATCATCATTTAGTTACATATCATAAGGTACATACTTATAAAGTTTCATAATAATTATGATTGCATAACTGTAACAAAAACGATAATATCAATACGTGCTTCCAGTTAGAAGAACTTACTTTGACCTCGTCAAAAACAATAAAATATTAAGATCCATTTCACTGGGAGAACACAACCCCAACTATTCCTCACTTAGCAGTAAGCCCCACTAACACCCCAAAAAACAATTACTTATATAATTTCAATTGACTTGCATTGCCAGCAAATAGAATAAGACGCTTACCGAACAGCAGAAATCAACTTGGCTTAACTCTTCTCCTTCACTTGCCAACTTTTCTTTTGCAGGCGTGGTCTCTTGCCCCCAAAGTCAGAAAAGTGTTTGCAGACAAAGCATTCAATAATGTAAGACTGCCCTAAGACTTAACGTTCTGTAATTACAAACGAGTTCGGGAGGGAGTCGTCGCACCAGGACCAAGGAAAAGGAAAAGGACGAGGACGAGGACGAGAACGAGGACCAACAAGTTGCCAACCGAACTCAGTCCGGTTTCCCGGAAGTGAAAGCAGCAAAACGGCAGCCGTGGATACCAACGCGCTGCGCAGCTCAGCCACTGTGAAAGTGACCCCGTCGCCGACGACGACGACGACGACGACGCCCCTGACAATTTGTCAGCCGCCCCCGCCCACCCCGCCCTACCAGCGGCTAACCAAAGCGCTGCAATGCGATCCGCGCTGCGGCCACGAGGTGAGTGCAAATGGAAATGCCTGGCTGCCTGAGTGCGGGAATGCCTGTGGCGGGGAAAATCACAAAATCAAAGGGGGACCTGCCCGCCCACCTGTAAGTTTGGGTTTTCTCTGGCGCGGTTAGAGTCAATTACCTCCGCCATTAGTTGTGGCACTCTCTGACCGACCAACTTTTTTAATAAATTTAAAGTTATTTGATAAATGAGCTTTGAACGACGAAAAATATACGGACACAAAAAGTTACATTTCGTTGGCAAAAACCGTTTGTTAATTTAATTTTAAATATAAACATTTACAATAAAACTTCAATAGCTTTAATTTTCAATTTAAGAAATACAAAGGTAAGCGGTGACAACACTGCGTATTAGTGATATATTTCACAAACATTTTTAAGGCATTAAAAAAGGATACAAGTCTTGCGAATTCTTGAGCTTACAGATTTGAATAAAATTTTTTTCATGTATAGAAACATATAACTTTACAATAAAGCTGCAGTAGATTCAATGTTTAATATATGACATTCTCAGGAAAGCGTTAACAACACTGCGTATTAGTGATATTTTTTACAAACATTTTTAAGGCATTAAAAAAGGGATAAAATATTGCTTATATATACAAGTATCTAAAGTTTAAAAAATATACAATTTAAAAACAAAAATGTTTATTCACAAATACGCTTGTTAAAGATTTGTATAGTTTGTGGAATTGGTTTAATAATAAATATATAATAAACGATTTAATCCAGACTGTAAAATTTTACCAGAGTACATATCATTTTTGTTTGATAAAAAGGCTGAAATATATTCTAACGATAAACAACATAGGAAGCTCACAATAAGTGGGAAAAAAAGGCTTAGTTATCTTCCATAACCAGTTTGAAAAATGAAGTCGAATTCATCTTACATCATCAAGGGATCTCTTAGATAAGTCTGGTCTTCAAAGCATCCGCATTGTCAAACCAATTTCCTTCATCAGAATTTGTGGCGTCATAAACGTGAAGGCTGCAAATTGTTATGGCAGGAATTTATCTTCGCATTGTGTCATGAACTTATTGTGCCAGATTTGCGTGTCCTTGCGCATGATGAATTGTATCTCATGCATGGGAAAGTAGGTCTGAATGCAACCTGTTTGGCAGCACACGAGAAACAGGGCTCACCTCTTTGGCTCTGACGTCACGGTGAAAGCTAAAGCCAGGTTATTGTCGCTTGTTGTTTTTGTACCATTTTCCCCGTGTGGGTGTCTCTGTGTGTGTGTGTGCTTGTGTGTTAGCTAATACACAAACCCTCTGCTGCAGAGCTGCAATTATGTAGGAACAGGGGTTCAAGGCTAATTTGCTTGTGCAGCAATGGCGTTGTCAGGCGTACACTGGAAACAAATCGAACTTTTAATGATCAAAAGTTAGAAATCATGTTAATATTTATTAGAAAACATTTTTGAATTTAATTAAATGAAATAATATTTTACTATTACATACAGAAATATGTTATAACAGTCATTACTTTAACATCGAATAGTCAAAAATATTTTATAAAATAAAAAAAAATATAAGCTTCAAAAAATGTTACCTAATTCAAGCCTCTTTACTTAACTACAGCTCTTTTATAAAAACCTATTTTCGTTCCTTACATTTTTTTTTCTACCTCCCATAAACAAATAGATAGATTTCCTCCAGTGTATTTGTGGATTTGTTGTCTTTGTGGGAGCTCATTCACCGCCTGTTTGGGGTTAGCGCTGCAGAATGCGCGTGTGACCGAAGGCGAGCTATTCGCATTACGTATACGCCGCGTTGCGTTGCGTTCGCTCGTTTCTTAATTAACGCTCGCCTCCTTCTCAATGGCTCAAATGGTGGATTAAAGAACAAAAAAAAAACACACAGAAAGCCAAGAGGTGAAAGGTACGACAAGCAACAAGCAAAAACAGCGGCCACGTCAAGTGCAGCACACAGCTCAAATTACATTAACAAAAAAGAAATGCACCGCTCTTAACCTTGGCTAATTGCGAGACCAGCAAGTCTTGAGCGGAAGTGCATAAATTACAGGCACCGAGCTTGTGGCCGGAATGGGCGCAGTCAATGTTAATTGCTAGAACATGTGTACATGGGAGTATCAAATAATCGCTGCCTCGGATTAACCTTAAGGCGAGCCTTGTCCCTGAGGAAAAGGTTCGGGAAGTGCCTCATAATTTGACATTAGTTCGATGGAAATTAAACTAGAAGTTTTACTTATACAGCAGGGAATTCTAATTCCTTGAGAAAATAAAGAAAATTCCTGGGCTTCCTCTAGGTTACATAACGATTAAGTAGGGTATTTTATTATAGGATTATATATATAACCTTGATAAAAATACATACCTTTAGCATATGATATTCTTACCTAAATTTTAACTAGAAAAGGTGAATCAATGTTTTCTTATTTATTTCTTTTACTAAAGGTAACCATCGGCCGTCGCATTGGCCTCTACAGATTTTGTGGCGACATCGGACGCGGCAACTTCTCCAAAGTCAAACTCGCTGTCCACCAGCTGACGCGTGGTAAGCCAAAGACCTTAAGGACATTATCCCGATCACATATTAATTGGGAACTTTGCAGACAAAGTGGCCATTAAGGTGGTGGATCTGGATCGGGCCGGTCTCGATGCCAAGGCGCTGCGAATGCTGTCCAGTGAGATAGCCACTCTCGAGTGTGTTCATCATCCAAATATACTGAGGTGGCTGCGGATCACACTTAAAAAATATGCCAGTGCTATATCCATGTCATTTCCTGTAGGCTTTTCGAGGTGGTCGAGACTTTGGGACGGGTCTATCTGGTCACGGAGTGGATTCGCGGTGGTGAGCTGTACAACCACATTACCCAAGGCGGTCCCCTGAGGGAGATTCATGCGGCTCCTTTGCTGAAACAGCTCCTGCTGGCCGTCAAACATATGGTAAGCCGGCATATTTATATTGCAGAATAAATGCAAGCGAATTGTTGGGAAAATAATTCAATTATATATCACGAAAAACCAATATTAATCATTGATTAATTCATTTTAAAGCTTAGTTTGACAGATTGATTTATGGCTTCTTCATATGAAAGCACTGAATATTAATTGTGGCATTGTATACCAATTTAATTAATTTTATTTCGATTACTTTGCATACTTGCAGCACAGTTTGGGCTACGTGCATCGGGACATCAAGGCGGAAAATGTCCTGCTCCTCTCGGAAGATCGCCTCAAGCTGGCCGATTTCGGTTTCAGCACCCAACTTATCAATGGTGCGGTCAACAGCCCTCGGCAATCCCTTCCCCATTCCGTCAGCAATCTAATCAATTTCAAACCCTCTGACAGGTGCCAATCAAAAGCTCGATACGTTCTGCGGCTCACCGCCGTATGCGGCGCCCGAGCTCTTCTCCGATGACCACTACATCGGAGCTCCCGTGGACGTTTGGGCCCTGGGCATCCTGCTCTACTTCATGGTGGTCGGAAACATGCCCTTCCGGGCACCCACAATACCCGGCCTGAAGGCAGCCATTCTCAAGGGCGACTATCTGCTGCCCGGCCAGCTCAGTTTGCCCTGCATAAGACTTATTCGTAAGTGGTCAACGAAAAGCTCTTAATATTGTCTAAAATATTTTTAAATAATTTTAACCATTAATTGAAATGTTGTTTAAAAATATTTAATACACAATACAAGTTAAGAAGAGTATAACATCAGGATATAAGTTTTGATTTGGTTTAAACCATTTAATATAATTTTAGTTATTCAGGAGGTAGTTTAATTTTGTTAATAGTTTTATTCGTACAGTATTATTTTTAAAAAAGAAGATTAAAGTGAAAGTGTTATTAATAAATCCAGTAAAAAATGATAAAAGCTAAGCTATCTAAAAAGTCAAGAAAGATAATACAGAGCAAATAATAATTATAGAGTTTGGCAATACAAAATTCAGTTTTAGTACGAATACCGGTCGCTAAGAACCTTATGAGAAAAACCTCTATCCAAATAATAAAATATTTAAATTTAAACGATGGTATTTCTTCGTTTCCAGAACGCATCCTGATCCACATACCCGCCCAGCGGCCCACCATCGACGACATGCTGAACAGCCAGTTTGTGACCTGTCCCAAGCTGAGTGCGGACCTGATGCAGTGGGAGATCAGCCAGCACAGCAAGCCGGTGAAGCGGTCGATCTTCTGGGTGCGCAGCAAGTCGCACCGCCTGAGGAAGTCCGCCTCTCTGAGGGATCGGTATGCGGAGGTGGTGAAGAAGCCGGCCATTAGTATGAACACGCGGCAGCAGGACGAGATGTTTGTGCAGAACTTCCTGCAACCGATCGAGATGGGTCACGAGCTGATGCTCCAGGGATCGGGTCAGCTGAAGGAGGCGCAGTCCGCGGAGCAGGCGAAGCGTCCTGCCAGGCGGTACATGTTCTGCGGCAGCCTCAAGAAGAAGGTCACGCCCATGGAAACGGACACACCGGAGAAGCAGCTGGCCAACGGCGGGCAGTGCGGATCGGCCAAGATCAATCCGTGGAATGTGGAGGTGGCCGAGGATTGCCCCCTGTTCAAGAACTACGATGCGGAGACGGGCAGTTGCATCATGTTGCCCACGAGCACCGAGGATCTCAGCCAACTGGGAGCTCTGGAGTTCGAGGCTCGCCAGATTCTGGCCGAGCTGGGCCTGTCCACCGAGATGCTGATCAATGCGAGGCAGAGCGGACCCCGCTCCGACATCATTGGCGCCTACAGGATCGTGGTCAACCGGTTGCAGAAGCAGTCCTGGCTGGCCCGGAAGCACGTGGAGATGGCCCTGCACAGTGAGCCGAAGGCGGAGAAGCGGATCGAGAGATCGTGCTGCATACTCTAAGACGACCGTGAATAGATGTTGCATGTTTATATTAATCTCCTGGTTCAGGTGGTCCCGAAGCTACCCCGAAAGGAAAGGCAAACTTGGGTTTCTATGGCATTTCGCTGAGAAATAAGGGTTATTTCGGTTACCCTTCTTTGGAAAAGAAAATAAGAGGTTCTAAGAACTTCCAGCTTGAGCCTATAATAATCATTGTTTTGGCTGTAGCTTGATTGAATCAACAAAAACCAGCTGGTATATCTTGCCCTCTTGTTTCGATCAGCCTCACAAATTAGATTTGTTATTAATATTAAATATCGATCTGGTTATGTTAGGCTTCTATTAGTAATACCAAAAAAGGTTAGGAAAATGTAGAATGAATTTTAAAACCAGTTCTCCAAAAAGGTGAATTTAACTCTGAGTATGGCATAACTAGAATTAACTTCTTAAAGAAGTTTAAAAATAAAAAAGAGTTACATAACTGAAATCAGTTGCTTAAAACCAATTGGATTCTTTGCGAAATTGAAGTTTGCCTTTCTGGGGGAATAAAGTCGGAAGACCACAGGACAAGCCCAATTAGTGTCAATTTGCCAGCTGCATAGGCGCGAGTTTGTTGTTAACGTAGTTTCCTACATCCTTTTCTTCGTGTAGCTGAGTTTGTCCAATCGTCGAGTCCAAAGGCGGATAGAAAAGTTGATATATATATATATATATAGAAATACATACATATAGTCCAAGTATTATGTATTTAGTTGTTGGTCCATTTTTGAGCATATACAGACGAATATACGAAACGAATATGAATATTATGAATACAAACATACAAATACATACTGGGCTAAGGCGATCGATCTCATCGAGTCTTCAATGTACAACGTTGCATAAAAATGTTTAATTGATCATCAAAAAGCGAGTGTGTCTGTCAGTAAGTGTCACTCTACGTGTGTTTTTAAATAATTGTCTCCCGTGGAGTCAATCGCGTACAATAAAGCAGCATTATGAATCGCTAAGAATCGCATTCGTACAAATCGTAAACATACTAAAAACTAAATCTCAACCACTCGTCTAATTATGCACTGTAGCCTTAGTTTATTGCATTCGCAGCATCCGCAGTGGGGGCTTGACCTCCTGCTCCCTCTCGGTTTTGCTCCTCTTCCTCGTCCACCTCGGCTGCTCCACTTTCGCCTGGTTGGGCTTCATCGGTTCTGTTGCGGCGCAGGCGCTCCACCAGCGGCCCTCTCAGATGAAGGCGCTCCCACTGGCGCCGCTGCAGCCGGCGTCGCCGTCTCTACCGCTCTCTTCTGTAAAACGGAGTGGATTGATAACTGGGTCTGAGTGAAATTTGAGTGGAATTCTTACTCTACAGGGTACCGAATACGAAATAGCAAGCATTACAACTAAATTATCTACGCCTTAAAAACACAAAGAATTTGAAAATAATCTCTTTTCTGATGTGAACGTCTTTTAATGATTTAAACAGGTAAAATTGACTTTACACATATTAGCAAATAGTTAAAGCTCAGGGCAACATCATTAAATACAGAAAATTTAAATCAAATACGCTTTTGAATTGATCTCTGACATATATGATTTTATTATATGTGATACAAGAACACTAGAAAATAGAGTAAAAGTACAGGCAATTCACGTTTGCCGGCTGTCTAAATTAATGAAATTTTAAAAGAGTAAGCTAAAAATTTTCCTTCAAGCCGATTTAACAGTAATCTCTACTGTTATTATTAAGATTAAGGTAAGGCCTCCAATGGGTTTATCTAATTCAGTTATCTTGCCCCAAAGATTTACTCTAGTACAATATAATCGAGAAAAAACGTGTGGCTTAAATGTCACTTTCTCTCTTACCAACTATGGCAAACGAATCGGAGTCCGAGGTGCCCGCGGGCCAATCGATATCCGGCATGGTGGGCCAATCGATGTCCTCCGTTGTGTCCCAATCGACGGCGCGCGCTTGGCTAATCTCGAAGAGAGCCGGCGAGCAAAGGCTGAGTACCTCCTCCCTGAACTTTGTGAGCAGGGCCTCGAAACTGTCACTGGTTTTGCAAAGGAAACAAACCGCCAGCGAGGGATCCATGGCGGAGAAGCTCAAACGAGCAGCGTGCTTCTGATGGTAGGTCTCGTCGTATTCTTGTTCTCCTGCAGCTGTTTTCTGGCCCACCACACCCGTTCTTTGCGTGGTGTGCGGATCCAAGTACAGGACCTCGTCGTCCACGTAGCCCAGGAAGTACAGAGCCTGGTTGGGCCGGCCGCCGATCATGCCACAGCTGCTATCTAATTCAAGGCAACGCTTCAAGGCTGGCACATAAAGCGGGTTAATGTCTGTGATGCCTAGGCGCAGGGGAATGATGAGCAGCAGTGGCTTCCAGTTGTCACCCTCGCGGCAGGATGAGTCTACGAGAAATGAGGAGAGGTTTAGGAAGGGAATTTCTTTGAAATCAGTTCTATATTTTCCACTTACACACGTCATCCAGGACTACTGTGCTATCCATGGCCACGTGAACTGCCAGGGAGCTCCAGTCATCAAAACGCACTAGTTTCCTGAAATAGCCAATTAGCTATACAAATATCCTCTTTATAACAAAGATCGGTCTTACTTGAGAATCTGGGCTACTGTATTCGGTCCTAGCCACTCGCCCACAGCCTTATTTTGGGACTCTCCCGTCAGGGCGATCTGGTGAATGGAGTAGAAGCTATTCCTCACGTCTTCAAATCGTTTTACAATCTCGAGGTAAGTGGCATCCCGGCACTCTGACGTCCAGAACCAGTCGCGACCCAAATGTAGGTCAATCAGCGCCTGGGCGAGGACCATCTGACCACAGCGGAGCATGCAGCCCCATCCCTTGTCCGAGGTGAGCTGGACCTCTCCCAATGGCGAAAAACCATGGCGGTAGGTGCACCACAGCCGGGACTGAATGTCGCGTCGGATAAGCTCGAGCTCTGAAAATGTTAGTTAAAATGAGTTAATTTAGTTGTTTTCTAGTCCTTAGCTTAAGTTATGGAAATTCTATATATGGGAACATCTATGACTCATCAAGACCCCAATATCTTGGATCTCTATCCGCATTATAATGCCTGAATGGTATTGTACTTCCCCTGTTTGGTAGATGTTGGTCATGGAAACCTAAATGACTCATCCATGGCCAAACATATTGGATCTCCCCCATAATGCCACCCTTTATGATCCCATCTTACCCTGAATGGCATTGTATCGCCTTCCCAGAACCCAGACATTGGTGTTCCTGCGGGGAATATCCTCCGGTTCGCCGCTGCCCACCGCCTGGCCAACTGCGCTGGCGAGGACGCCCTCCGGGCCCAAGTACGCCTCGAAGACGCTCTCCATGATCCTCGCTAGCTGGTCGCTGAGGCCGACCAGCATCTACTGCCCGGTGGGAGGAGGAGGAGGGGGTGGACACCAGGAGACGAGAACAGCCCCTCCGTTTTCGGGTTAATTGCCTGCCAATGACTTTCTGCTTTTTTTTGGCTGGGGGCCTTTGTTTTGGCCTTTGTTTTCGATGGCAGCGCTGCTCCTGCTCCCGCCCGAGGTCACAGTGGTGGCATTTGTTGTTGGCAGTGTCGGGCGCTGATTACAAACCAAGCGAGAGCTTTTGATCAGTCTGCGGCGCTTATAGTTTGGTTTATTTTCCTTTTTTTTTGTTGATTACAACGATAACAGCAGTGACGTAGCTGTTGGTGTGACCGCAGCATGTGCGGCCAAAAATGTACTGAATTCTGTTAAAAAAAAATACCAAATTCACTCCCAACAGGGGAATAACATGAAGAATAACATAACATAGTTTTCAAAAATTTAAAAAGTCGTTACGGTTTTTTTTATTATGGATCAAATTTATGTTTTTACATTTTTATACTCTAGCAATTTTAAACATAATAATATATATGTTTTTTTAACTCAGTATTTCTTAAAACTAAATAATGCACATCCCAATGGTAAACAATTTCATATTTATAAAATAACTTTATTTATTGCACACAATTTCAATAAGCTTTGCAGCTTTGTTTATACTGAATCTTTTCAACCAAAATTATAAAAATTGACAATGTATGTTTTAAAATTCGTTTATTTTAAATAAAGAAACATAAAAAGTCTCGCATTAATATCTGATTTTTGACTATATTTCGTTGTCGGATTGGCAGATGAATAAGAATTCATTGAAACATCCCTTATCGCTCATTGTTCTCCTACTTCTTAGAGTAACGCAGTCCTGATTATTTCTCCTGTTGTTGGGTTGCTTAAAATCCCATTTTAAAAACTGTGCCGGTTTGCCGGAGGCAACAGATATCCATTCCTCCTCTTTGTCCCTGTCGTTGATGCCAATCCAGTAAAAGCAATCACATCCCAGTGAGTCTGCGATGGCGTTAAGTTCCTCTTCATCTCTAATCGAAGCCAGATATCCACCCATCTCATTACAGGCATCTGCGGCCTCAAGCCAAGTTTTTTTATAATCTTCTTCGATGTGAAAGTACCTATTACCAATTTTTTTGAACCGTGGTTCAATGGTTTTCCCCTTGTCTCCCTGAAATGCCGATTGGGGTCTCTCCATTTTTTGCAAAAGCGCCTGAAGACTGTTGTATATCAACTGCAGTTGTTGCTCCGTTTTCGAAAGTCGCCCCTCGACTTCTTGTGTCTTTCGTAAAGATTCCTGAATAAGGTCATATATTATTCGATGCTCATTAGCCAGCTGTGATTGGGATGCAAGCCAATTGGGATCCTGCTTGGTTTGAAATCCTGCGATGTGGTCCGGTTGCGATGTTCTTTTCTCGCAGGAGTCCTTGAGGATTGCTTGCCCCGCTTCTATTTCTTCCAACTTGATAAGGATGTTACTAGTATCATCATATAGCGGGTGGAGTGCAGCCAGGCAAAAGGTGCTGCATTGACGTGGTTCATCATCGAGAACGCACACCGATGATTTATTATCCTGAGAACCCAACAATGGTCCTTGCAAACTCAGGATAACTAATAAACAGAAGAACAAGGACTTCAAATTCCACATTTTAAACTAATATAAACACTCAAATTTAAGTTCTAAAACGTACTGAAAGCGAGCTACGTGTTGAAGTAACGAAGAAGCCTAAAATTTTGATGATAAGGCGGCGAGAACTTTTATATAGTACAAGGTGTTTAAATTCGGCTGAACAGATTATTAATATGGGATCGCAAGGTCATATTTTAATGGACTGCACTTGCCAATTTTGAAAACGGCGATTATAATTTACCTATTGCCGATTTTGTTTTAAAACTTGTATTTATTAAATTAATCAAGTTAGAATTATGTAACTGCATAACAAGTTTTAAATTGCACTTAATAAGTTATAATTCGCTACGCCACTTTGAGCGCGCAGAATTTGTTATTCAAATCGAAGAAGGCATCTTCGGGATCTGCATCCTCGACCATATCCGCATTGGGGTCCGCATTGCACTCCTTTCCTTCCGTTTTCCTCGCCGCCTGACGCTGCTTCTTCAGTCGCTTCTTTTGGGCCTTCACTGCCGTTTGATCCACCTCTGTTTGTTTCCAATGTGGAATAAATTCCGCACACCAATCGTACAAAAAGCAATAGAAATCGAACATCATTTTGGAGTCGGGCAATAGAAAGTTTTCTACATGGTAGCGGACATCGGCGCGATTTCTTAAAAGATCATAGATATTGTAGAGAAAAGAGCCGCAATAAAGTTGATTCATTCTGGGACTTAATAATGGGAAATCTAAGAGTGAGTTGAGGCCATTGAGTTGAAAGACCACAGCCTGAAATTCGGCAAATGAGTGAATAACCGTTGAGGAGTACAAATCAAACTTTTTCTTGAAGATCTCCTGCATGTGGAAATGCGGTAGCAGGCGTTCTTGGGTTAAATAACAGTCCGATTTCGGTACATGGGGCATCCGATCTGGCACAGAAAGCTCAAGAAGAATGGGTTTAATGCCACGTTTGATCCCTTCGGCGACTTCTTTATCCCTCACTGCTCGTTCTGCCTTCAAAATCTTGCTAAATCTCTTGCGAAAAGCTTTCACTTCTCTCTCTGCGGGTATCGTAACATCGATGGTACGCAACACAATCAAAGAAAGGATGAGCGAGTGGAGGTGCAGCAGATCGCAGTGCTCCGAGCGATGCAGCCAGTAAATAATAGCCAGAAAGTACAGCCTTAGATCCTCCGGCAGCTCATCCACCTTCTTGAACAGCTTCTCTGTATCGGCATGCGGAATATTGTCTTTAAATACAGCCTTCAAATGCCTGGCATCCGGTGCAGACGGTTCGAAAGCATAAGCTGGCTCCTTTTCAATGGGCATCTTGAGATACCTTACATTAGTCACTCGAAGAGCTCTAGTTAGGTAGGTAAACTCAATGGGGAGTGGCGAACCCTCCTCATCCAACTGTGGCTCCGTTTTCTCACCCTCCACATGGTGTAGAAGGGAGAAAACGTGGTTCAGGATGGGCAATGCCAGTTCATTGGAGTCGTGGAAGGGAAAGTGTTCTATCTGTGGGTTGTTTATGTACTTTCGTAGGTGCATAAGATCCACAAAGTAGCGGGCCAAGTGAGCCGGGTACAGTTTGTCTAGAAACCATTGCGGGAAGAGTAGTGTTTTGTCCTCCACTTCGATTTCAAGACCTTCATCAGATTCCTCTTCCTCCTCAACATCCTCTCCAGAGTCCAGCTCTTCGTTCTCTGGCTGTTCCTCCTTCTGTTGCTCCTTATACTCTTCGTTTTCAGCTTCCCTTTGCTTCTCTTCTCCCTCGCCTGCTGATAAGTTCTCCTCCAAACTAGCCAAATCTTCTTCATCGCCTGATTCCTCTTCACTCGTAGGTTCTATATAAGGAAAAGCCTTTTCGTAGTGCTCCTCAAAGAAATCGTAGGCGTGGCACAACTCATTGGAGTAACCAGAGATGGCTGCCTGGACCTGGGACACCAGAGATTCCCGCTGGTTCTGCAAGAGTATTTGTTTAGCTAAAACATATCATATATAGATAACGAAAAACCAACCTTTTTTAACCTGGACAACACTTTAGCCAAAGCAGACTCCGCCGTTTCTTCCTTCAGCCACGTAAGGATTACCTGAATGCGCTTCTGTTGAATCTTAAGTTTGCGACTCCTACCCGCTTTTCCCAATCCGGAGGCAAAAAAGTTCTTAAAGGCGCTGCGAGCTATATAATCGTTGCCCAGGAGTGCGGCAAAAAGTGGCAGTTTCTCGGGGCTCAGAGTGCTTCGTCCACAAAGATGCGACACTCGGTAGATACAGCAGTCGAGGTACTTGTAGGTTTTGGTATTCCCTTTTGGGGACGCTACTTGCTCTGAGGTTTGTATACCGCCCACAATCTTGTTGGATTTGGTGCGCTTCTCGACATTCTTGGCTTCGTTGCGTCGCAGATCACGAGAGTCCTTTTGCTTGTGGTTCTTCTTGTCCTTCACCTGTTTGGTGAGCACCTGAGGGCATAGATTTGCTGAGTATTTGTGGCGATATGAATAGTCCAATAAATACCTTCACAGTCAGCGTGATCAGCGGTATGTACTTGACATTGTGGATGTAGAAATCGGAGTCGTAGGAGAGCACTGGGCAGTTGAGTTTCCTGGCCAGGGCGGCCAGCTCGTCGTCCGCCTCAAAGACGCACCGCATCACTGGGACCCCGCAATCCCGCACTGCGTCCACAAAGACCTCCTTCATGTGCAGGGGGAACAGAGTAATGGATGCGTTCGGGTTAATCTTCTTGATCACGGTGATTTTTCCACGCAGCCGGGTGCTGACTGTCCGCAACTTGCGCTCCTCGTAGCCACCATCCATGAGGACGTACGGCCGGATGTTGCACTCGGCCAGGACCTGGAAAAACTGCACCACTGCCCGGTAGAAGTCATCGTAGTCTCCTCCGAAGGCAGAGTAACTGCCGGTGACATCCTTGTACAGATTGCAGGAAAGGTTGTCACCGTCGATGACCAGCGCCGTGGAGTGGAGCTCGAAGGGCTTCAGATAGATCTCCGCACGCTGTGCTATATAACTGGTTAGGCCCCGGACTCCCATTATCCTTTATCCGGCACTTGTTGCTCCGCAGCAATTTGTTTATTTTTTTCACCTGGAGTTCGAACGCGTGCTAGCGACAGTGTTGGTAAACACCAAAATATGCATAGCTACACTGGAAGAAAAAGTTGTTTATGAGCGACTTTTTAAAGTTTTAATTGTGTTAAATAATAGTTTAATATTATTAAGTTATTCCTCCACTTGTATATCGAATTAAAACACATAAATTTATTAGTTATATTAACTTTTTACTCTTTGTATATACATATTTCTTGCCCATTTGCATCAGCGGGAGCCGGTGTGAATGGCTCGCAACAACTCTTTTAAGCGGCAGTGTGAGGACCGTATAAAATAGATGTCCGGTATTTTTAGTATTTTTAATAAAATGATGCTGGTATTTGTTGTGCAGAGCCACACAGTGTATTTCTCTTACCTTTCTGCAGTCACACTGTTCCGAAAATTCCGACCCGACGCTCGAGTTTCTCCGTCCGCGCATCGCCGAAAAACGTAACACCGCGAGTGCTACGAACAGCCAAGAAAATTCGGCAGCCAAAAACAATACTACGACCCACTCAACGGGGAAAACTTCAATATATATCTGAAAACACACAGAAAGCAGTTAAATTCGCTATTCAATCGCCGAGCGCGTGCATATATACGGGTTCCGTTAATTCCGTTCCGTTTCTTGTCGCCTTTTTTTCTTGCACACACAGTTTACCACTTTACCTTTGCGTCTCTCGTTCCGTAGTGTGAGTGTGTGTGTGGTGTGCGTGCGTGTGTGTTGTTTTTCGTGTGTTCGTTTAACTAAACACAGGTAGAAACGAAAAGAAAACCATGGGCGAATTATGAAAATATGAAATCAAGTAAATATAAAACAAGTAGCTACAACAACAACACACTCGTATACCCGTCGTGTTCATAACTTTGTGCGTCTTTCGCATTCATTTCATATAGTATTATTTTTCTCTTGGATTTTCAACAACAACAATATGAATGAGAGAGCGAGAGCCAAGATCGTGATCACCGTATCGTGAATGAATATTTGTCAGTGTGTGCGAGGCGTGCTTTACGCACACACACACGTACGTAAACAACAAACACACACACGATTGCCAGTGCCTGTGTGTGAGTACGGCATTTAATAAATTATTGTGTGCAAATAAATGTTCCAAAAAGAGATCGGTAAAAAAAACGTAAACCAAAAGTGCGAAAATTCGTCTTCGACTTGGATCAATCAGCAGTGAAAAAAAATATTGTGTTTGTACAATTCTTCCGGAGATTTGGAGCACCGATTAATAATTGACCAGTTTTGTTTTTGGATACGGCACATCTACATTTTCCTCTTTGCCGAAAAGGTGAGTGTAAATCAAAGAAAAATCGCTTTCCCATTGGCCAAGGCCATTCCCGGGAAACCATGGAGCGGTCCTGCCCACGTTTCCTGTCTTCCGCACATTTTCACACGTCCTGCAATTGCAATTTTCTCGTTTCTCATCTTTTCTTCACCCTATATATTTTTGGTGATTCCCACGCCTTCCTTTTTTTGGGCAGGTATTCACAGGTAGAAAGACCCTCGGGAAACCCGAAAAACTAGAGAATACCTCTGTTGGTGGGCTGAGGCAAATCGAGAAAAAAATAATTGAAATATTTTCCCAACCGAAGAAACAGCGAAAATTGAGCGAAATTAACCACCCGCTGATTCCAGAAAATTGTTGGAAAAATATGAACATCTCTCTGGGGGAGAAATAAATCAACGTTATTGTCATTCTGCAGTTGCAATTTGGCACGATTTCGATATGACTGTGTTGTTCCCATTTGTTCGGCGATTATGTAATTTTCGCCAAGTGCTTGTGAATCAGGTTGATTTTCCATATAAAAAAGGGGCTGCCGACGATCTGGCGACCGCCGACAGTTGCCAGCGATTTCCGCCGCTTTTTGGCAACTGGAAAATCGAGCACAAAAGTTCATTCCGGAGTTTGGCATCCGGGTAGCCGAAGAATAAAAGGCGTAGCCCTGCCGAAAATAAAAAAGATTCCTCTGGTTCCCCCTTTTCCAACGCATTTCCCAAAACGGTTTATAGTTTTCCTACAGCTGTTGCGACTGCGATTTTTACGATTTTTACTAGTAACCCGGGGAGGCAAGAACATAAATGGATGTTCGACAAGTTAATACCGCTCGAAAAATTGAGAAAGAGGGTTTTAGTATAGTGTGGATTTGGTATTGAATATTTTTGTCTTTAGATTTCCAAAGTTATCTTCGTTCATCCTTTGTAATTTATTTAACAATAAATAAATTAATATCAAATTTGTTAAAGGAACGCATATAAATTTGAGTAAGAGTAGTAACTTCCCTGCAATAAGTGAATGAATAGTCGTCCTATTATATTCGCTATACATTGCATTCTTATTTTGATGCTTATTATACCCTCAGCTACCCTACAATCACTGGGTACCATAAAAAGAGTTTGAATTTCAAATAAAATCCACTCTCCGACACTCACACAAGACCACTGGTGGAGCAGCTGCTGTTTGTCTCGTTGTGTTTGGGTCTCAAATGACACTTGCCAACGTTGCTGCTGCACATAATTCTTAATTCCGGAGAATTTCCTAGTAGGAAGTGCAGGGGCTACAGCGAAAACACCAGCAAGAGTCGCACTTGACGAGTGTCTTTCCCTGGCTATCGCCATCCCACTCTAGAAACGTAAATAGAGAACCAGATATGGAGGGATCTTGAACTCCCATGGTTGACATTTCTTAGAATGCGTGAAAGTATAAATTAATAATTAAATTTGTTAGAGCTTTTAATGTATATAGAAATTATATCAGTTAACCAATATACAATACAATTCAAAAGTTATGCCTCTTTACAATATCTAAAAGTTCATCATGTAACATTTTTGTTATGACAAATGCTTCGTTTAGGTGTCTCATCCCTTGCTTAATTTTTTGCACTTGTCCCGTTCCCATTTCCTTTGTCGTACTCCAGTTATTTGCTGTAATTGAGCAATTAAACAATTGTCTTTGATTAAATGTGCAAAATTTGTCTAATGTTCTAAGCTCCGGGTTTATCTGCAAAACGGATGTGGCCGCTTAAAGCTGCGCTCAAATTGCCCGCGTAATTTGTCACTGATCTCACTTTCTCAATTGGCGATCACTGTGATTTCTGTCTGGACAATTATGCGTCATTATCTGCAGCCAGGCATACCGTTAGGTATATTTACCATATAGCATCTAACGCCTAACGAACGCAATAGAGACATTGCAACAGTGGCCAGAATAACAACATCGACTAGGGAAATAATGGCTGCTTACCTTTGCCCATCTAATGCTTCTTGACCTACAAGCGGCCTCTCGCATTTCCTGCCCATTTTCATTTACTGATAATTATGTTTAGACTCAGGCAATTCGGAAAAGCGGGGGAGGAGTGGAGTTTCGATAGGGGCAACATTGGCTAATAAAAGCTTGCAAACAATTTCAAATTTCCAAATTGTTTGAAATGCTGCCCAGCTGGCAACAGAGAAAAGCAACCGAATTAACCAAAAAGCAACACGGCCATAACAACAATCTTCCTCACACATTCATAATAGGCAAACAAATGCGGTCAAAATAATAAAGCTTTTGTGTTATGAGTTAATGAGTTATATATGCATTTTTGTTACAATGTACATATATTATTTGGGATGAGTTTTTACTGTTAAAGTCTGAATTAAAATTGTGGTAATTATAACTTTATTAAAAAATAAATATTAACATTTTATCTGCTTAACAAATATCAACATTTTCAAAATTTATTTAGATAAAAGTTTTATTATTTTTATGTGTTTGATTTTGTGGAAAATAAGTAGCATCCTCTATTATTTTTACCCCGACTGTACGCATACACACTCAAAAACAACAAATAAAGTAATTATTTCCTTTCACATGGCGAGCTACCTCCAAAATCGGAAAGACATAAAGAAGAATATAAAAAGCGAAAGAAGCCTCAAGACCCAAAAATAAAATCCAACCAAATCCGCTGTCGGCTTCGAGACTTTTGTTGTTGTTTTGTCTGCTGCAGCGGCCCTAACACGTGCAATTGGGAGCGAGTGAGGGAGAAATAGAGGTAGCCAGAGCGAGAGCAAACTATTAATAAAGTTGTTTCACATACATAAATACGTCGCTAAAAAGAGTGAGGAGTACGTGGAGTAGTATTTTCGCATTGATCTCTCACTAAATTGGCAAAAACGGAACTTAAAATGGTTGACAATGTGGGAGTGGAGCCCGTTGTGAATGAAACACATCTGTGGGATCTATTGTGATTGATTCATAAGGCAGGAGATGACTAAATTCGCTTTGGGCCCATTCCCATATCCGTTATGTGGCCACTCCTTTTGTCCAAATTGGGTAAACTGATTTTTGCCTGTTCTTTTGCCATTTAATTGCTTCATCCACACAAATAGAAAAATAAATGTAAATCGATCTCTAATGTCACCGAATTTCGTTTGCTTTCGTTTTGTGAATGAAACGCTTATGTATTTGTTGATTTCCCCTTCTCTCCTTATCCCTACACATACATATGTGGGCGCCATCGTCTTGAGTTGTAATTTCGCGTCTATCTGCCCGTCCTTGTCTGTTGCTAATAAATCATGACCCGCTCATGTAAATTTTGCATTTGTTTAGCCTTTGATACCCTCGAATCGAGTGGTTTGTTTTCGTTTTATCTTTCACATACAAAAAACTTTGAAAGTAAAGAAAAATCCAATAATGGGAAATCAATGAACCTATTTATATTACTAATGGGCATATCAATGAATCGCAGGATTAGTTTACCGGAAAAAAAAATTATTACCAATCATAGAAAAATACCTTTTGCAAGGGTAATTTTAGCTTCGTTGCAAGCTTTTCTGTTCACTTCTTGCTCGATAGTTTTTGCCTATTTATGCAGCTACCGTGGGGCGCTTACGTCATGGGCCGACTTCGTACATATTTGGCCATGTTTTACTGTTGTCAATTGGCTGCTATTTGTGGGCTAAATTTCTCGCTGCCGTCAACACAAAATATTGAAAGTAGGTAATGTAGCGCAGCAGCTCAGATTGAGTTGAGTCATTGTCAGACGTTGGATTTTCTTTTTCTTGAGTTGTGAAATTACTCGAATCCATCGGATGCGCAAGTACGTATATGTATTTACATACAGTCGGCTGCTGTACACATTTTCTTAATTAATAATTTTCAACAAGCAGATGGAGGAAGAGAAGCTGTCTACATATAGCCCATATATCATTGCCAAGATCATCTATTGGCCTCTCTATCTGGTTCTCTCTAGCGACACATTATTTCTAAGCGAAATCCGTTCGGCATTTATCTACTTTTCCCCCGACTTCATTAGAAATTCACTTTTCGCTAAACAATTACCATAATGCGATAAATTTTTACAAATTGCCCTGTTAATTGAAGATTAAAACATCTTGCGCATCGATCTATTTTATAGGGGCAACGGACATTTGCTTACGTTAATGCAGCATTCGGAATAACCCGAGATACATTCATGAATGGAATAATGAATGGGAATGTTGTTATGAAGTCAAGATCGACTGCGTTCTGCTTTTTCGCTTTTCTGCGGTCGATTTTGTGGTATTATATAGTGTTCTTCTGAACATATATCAAATTCTTTTGAAGAAAAGTGTTTTTGGTTGTGTATTAAATTTTCCCTAATTATGTTTTTTCTGATGGAAAATTTTCAGAATTTTAATTTAATGATTGTTTAATAGATTCCTAAATTTTAAATTATGAATAATAAAGTCTATCCCCAACTCCTTTAGAGATGATTTAATTATAAGATAATGGAGTCCCACGTCGACTTAATATGACTAAGATGCAAACCTCTTGCAGACCATTGTTTTCTAAAATATCCCCCTGTGCGCAATAGAGTATCGTCATTATTAGCCAGAGAAATCCATTCACCGGAATGGATCCCACTCATCATATCGTTATCCACAACAAACAGCTGACTAACCCGGTGATCGAAAGGGGGCCCCAACTATATAGACGCGGTGCCCGAATGAATGCCTGTGGGTGGTGCAGCTTTTCATAGCCACCTACACTAACTCACTGCGCCAATATTTACACAACATTGATGGACATGTATGTTTACCTACTTTGAGGTGCTTCGGTTTCGGTGCCCCCTTGTTATGAGTACAAATATACCTCTATATAGATCTAGCTTATTTATTTATGTATTATTCTGCCGCTATTTATAACTGGCATACTAATTTGTAATTTGTTTAATGATTCACTTAACGAACTTCATGAAGTGTGGGAACTGGAGTTTGTAAACCCTATATCCATTGCACCACTTGACTTGTTGACCCAACTCTTTAGTC